TCTTCTTTTCCCTAGCCCTTTTCTAGAATCCTCTGTTCACGCCACTACTTCCTTGTCAGTCGGTCAATCTGAAGCCACCAGCTTTAGTTCCCCTCCTCACCAGGTCAGTTTCCCTATGATTTCAGTCATCACCTCCTTGACCAACAGCTAGCTTCAAGGGTTGGAAGACTTACACCCGCTGCAGTCAGAGCTCCACATCTCGAGGAGTCTCATTTGTGGGATTTCTTTTATGGGGAAAAGGAAGACCTTTTCCCTTTCCTGCCACCTCCATCAGCTACCTGTGAGTCAGCAGTTCCTGAGTCAGTGCACCTTAGCGGGTTAGTTCCCTTAGTCCTAGAGCCCTTTTGCAGCCCAGATCCAACTTTAGTTGCCCAGATCCAGAGCTAGAGCCCTTTAGCAGGCCACATCCCAAGCCAGAGCCCACCAGCGGGCCAGTCCCAGGGCCAGAGCCCACAAGTGGGCCATTCCCGGAGCCAGAGCCCACTAGCCGGCCAGTCCCGGAGCCAGAGCCTACTAGTGAGCCAGTCTTTGAGCCAGAGCCCACCAGTAGCCCAAAGACCCCTTAGCAGAACATGTGCCATCCAGAGACCCCCGAATCCCAGGACGGATCTAATGGGGAAACTGTGAACTATGAGATGTCCAGGAATGTGAAACCTTCAAGGCCCTAAGAAGGCCCAAAGTTCCTGTTGCAGAGATGCCGTCCTCCAAGGTTCCTGCAGCAGAGACGGCGTCCTCCAAGGTTCCTTCTGCAGAGACGCCGTCCTCCTAGGTTCCTGCTGCAGAGAAGACGTCCTCCAAGGTTCCTGCTGCAGAGACGCCGTCCTCCAAGGTTCCAGCTGCAGAGACGCCATCCTCCAAGGTTCCAGCTGTAGAGACGCCGTCCTCCTAGGTTCCTGTTGCAGAGACACCATCCTCCAAGGTTCCTGCTGCAGAGACAGCGTCCTTCAAGGTTCCTGCTGCAGAGACGGCCTCCTCACAGTCATCCTCCAGAGGCCCTCCTTCGTCACCATCCTCCAGACGCCCTCCACCATTGCCACCAGCCTCAAGGCCCGCCTCCAGGGACTCTGCCTCGTCTCCGGCCTCCCGGCTGGCCTCCAGAAACTTTGCTTGCCCTCGCCCACCTTTGGTGATTTGTTTTCTGTTTGGGTGTTTTTGATTTTTGCTTCTTTTCCACCTTCCTGGTTCTCCCTCCACCCGCCTTGAGTGGGTTGCTTTGTGTTTTGGACGTTTTTGTTTTATTCTCCCATAGATATTCTCCTTGTGCAGTTCCCCAGTGCTGGTTCCTCTTCTTTTCCGGGCTCACCACATGAGTTTTCCCCTGAAGTTGTCTGGTTTTTGGTTCCTTGTATTTTGTACTTTAGTGTTTGGAATTTTGCCTCAGAGGTGAGTCTTTGGAGATTTAATGAAATAACTGCCTCCTCACTTCTGCATTTGCGTACTCAAAACCTCAACCTAACGGTGACACACACTACTCCCCAGGTGCCGTACAATTGCAGATCTATTGATCTCTCCAGTGTTGAATCAATAAAGTTCAATTATTACTATTATCATTTATCATGTAGGAGCTAAAAATGTTTGCTTTTTTGATATAAAGAAGTATTTTGTCTCAACAAGTCAGCAACAGTTTTTTCAACATATACAATTATTGTGATCAAGTTTATGTTGTTCTGACAGATCTTTCTACTCATGACCTTATTTTGGCGTCTTCCTCCTCATATGTACCACAGCTCAGCCGTGAAATCCACCTTATGCTCTCCACTCTGCTCCTGTTTTCAGCTCGTTTGTTGTATAACCGCAGCTTTCTCCTGGTCGCTTGTTTAGCTCGTATTGGGTCACAAATGGCACAGCTGAATTGCCTATTGTGCTGTTCTCTCTTGTTCACTTTCTCTCTTTGAATCCCGTGCGCTCCTGCTTCATGTCACTGTGCCCTAGTCTTCTCTCTGTTAATTTCAGCTAAAATCACTGGGCTGTATGCAGGCTAGTTCAATAGAGCCAGGGCAATAGCTAAAACAGGCAGCAGTGATCTAATAAAATTAAGCTCCAAATGCTGCTTGTATCTAAACTCTTTCTGCTGGTTAGTGGTTTTTATAGAAGGGAGACAAATTCATTATTGGTTAAATAGATCTGACATAATTTGACATGAGCCACCAAAAATGCTGACATCTAATATAGTTTTTTCTTTCTCTATCTAAAGCTTAAATAATCTAATTTAAAGCAAATTACCAAAATTATTATTATTTTTTTCCAAGTGAAGTTTGGAAGAACTCAGCATTTTTTTTATTCATGATCATGGATAATAGAAGCTTTTTTTTTATTTTGGTGTACCTCTGGAGAAACAAAGTGATTGAGATAAAATCTACATTTTGGTTAAATGTACTGGAGATTTTTTTCAGTGAGAAATATTAAAACAGAGATTACATTTATTTGAATGCCTTCTCTATTAACTCTTTTGTGGGACTAGTATTTGTATAATAACCTGTACTTCTAAGTTTTTCTTGTTGTTTACATTTTAGCAAAATGGTTTTGAAATATATCTTTAACATCAAAGCTTCACAAGATTCTACACTTTTTTTTCAACAGGTGCACTAACTATTAAACTAATATTAATAATAATAATTATTCTTAATCTTTTTTTTTTGTAGCTGGGCTTCTACGTTGTTGTTCAGACATTGTACACACTGGGCCACAGTTTGTCTCTGATCGCCCTGACCACAGGGAGCGCCATCCTCTGTCTGTTCCGGTAAGACCATGCTTTAATATGTTTGCAGATAAACCTTAGATCCATTTCTATAATCCAGAGAGCTGATGTGCTCTATGTTCTAGTAATAGTGAGAACACAAGCAGCTTATTTTGGATCAGCTGCAGCTGTCTGGTGGACCTTTTTAGACAAAACTATGAAGACACTGTTGCTGTGATCACTTCTACTAAAGATAAATGCATGAATGAATTTTTCTAGATCCTGCTTGGACATTGGTCATTTAATCCTGGAAATTATTTCAGGTGAAAAAAGGCTGCCTTTATGAGCCTCTGAAGGTTCAGGTGTGAGTCCATCATGAAACAAAGATGTCAGCCATAATCAGTGGTTTCTAGCTGTAGTAGCTGAAGCTGTAAGCTAACTCTGGGTGTTTCCTCCTCTTGTCTGAAGCTTATTATCTAGTTTGTTTTAATCAGGATAAATAGGATTTCTGTCCATCCAAATATTGGTCTGCCCATGTGTGTCGTCTGCATAGTTATGGTAACTCATTTTGTTGTCTGCTATAATGTGACCTAAGGGTAGCATGTAGATATTGAATAGTAAAACTATAAAGGGAAAAATGGATAAACAAAAATGATATTATTGCAAAAGCAAGGTGAATTAAACAACTGCAGAGAGGGAAACCAAAAGGTGGGCAGATGATATAAAAACAATTTTAACCAAAACTTTTTGATATCAAAAACCTACAAAAAGTTGTTCTAATAGGAAATCAGAAGCAATGAATTACCAAAGAAACACAAATAAATAGGCTAGAGGCAACAACTGGAAAATCTGACCAAACGCTGACAGATAGGTTAATGCTGGAATGATGATAACCAAACACGGAGAAGAAACCCATACTATGAGCAAGCTCAACTTAGTAGAATTGCTCTCACCTTATCCACTTTAACCAGTTCACAACAACACTAATCAGGGGCAGCGATCATGATCTCTGAATGTGCACATATGAAGGGGCGGGTTCAAGCTAGCAGACCAATCAGAATCATAAGCACAGAAAGGAGAGCACCATGTTCCTCCTGCGAGAAACAAAAACTCATCTTACAGAAATAACAACATGGTGGAAAAACAAGTCTCAATGAAAAGTCAATAAAAGAGAAAAAAATTATGGCAAAGGATTGCTGACTGTGTAAATGCATAGTTTACACATCGTCTTTTAAAAATTCTAGAAGATCAAACAGTCGGGCTGGTAAAAAGTTTCTAAGGAAAACCAACTGATTGGATAGAGTTGTTAACTAGCAGGGCAAGCTCCTACTGGAAGAGCATGTAGAGACGGTGGACATTTGTTTGCATTTTGTTGTAGACTCCATAGCAAGCGCTAAGCCCTATTTTGATGGGATTTAACCAGGGACCACATATAATCATATTAAAACCTCCTGCAAGAGTTCAACTGGCATTCAAAGAGATAGACACAGACGCAAGAGGACCATACAGTAGAAGCTGTGACCTATAAATGCTTTCTACTGTATGTAAGAGTGGATAACAATAAATTAGCTCTATCGGTGGCTCTGTATGGGAAAGAAACACCTAAGGAGATTAGCTCTAAGACAGTTTTCATGTCAAAGAGATGAAGAGAGCACCTACAGTTAGTTGCTGTAATGGTAAGCCCATGTCTACTAAAGAAATAGGACTAAATCCTGAAAAACAGGCCCGACTATCATCTATAATTGAAGGTGTTGATGGAAGCAGCCCAACTAATATTTCTCCTCAGAATAATGCCATTAAGAAGAACAAACCAGAGGAAGCTACTATGACGAGAAAAGGCAGAGAGAGTATAAAGTTAGAGGTTGAAACAACAAATAATGCAGAATAAAAGAAAAGACATCAAATGAAGTAGAAAAAATGGGGGAAAGATAAATAATTACAAAGAATTAAGCCACCAAAACCAATGTCCTAGACAGGGTTAAAAGCCATTGGGGATTCAGAGGATTAAAAGCAGAAGCTGAGTCAATCTTCCTAATATGTGAAGGTAATTTGCTCCCTAGCTGTGATGCAATCATGTCTTCGCCCCTTAATTTTTTTTAACAAGCAACAAAATTTTTAAATCAATACAAATTCTGAGCAATATAAATTACTGCTAAAACGGGAGGAACGTGCTTTGATTGTTTGGTACCAGTTAAAAGATGAGCCTTTGCTTTGGCACAGTTTAAGGCGAAATCTGAACTTGGTCAGCTTGATAAAGCCAAGTATTAGGAATGAGGATCATAAAAGTTTTATCGTGTTTTGTGAAGTGAATCATCACAATGTTTGTTTGTTTTCATAAAGGCTACGTCAACTACTAGCTTTGCCAATAAAGCTATAATTTAGCCCCTAACTACTAACTATTTGCCGAATGGATCCTCTAAATAGGCTTCTTTTCAAATTGTTTATCTGGAAAGGAATCGACAGTTTTTAAGTGTGTGAGCTTAACATTGTTTTTCAAACCTAAGTTTAAAAATAAAAATTTTTCCCAGAAAAGTTGCCCCTAAGAAAGATGGTATAAATATTAACCCAAGCAAGCAACCCTGCAAATTGATAATCGAGACCTCTGAATAATTTCGAGCCATTCTAATTATCTCCTTCAAAACACCTTTGGCTAATAATTTGCCCTTTGCCATTGTCTTTGCTCTCTAAGTTCTTTGTCAGCATGCTGCTTTTTTAAACATCACCTTCTGTTTTCTGTTCACTCTAAATTGGTTACAGTTGGCGATGAAGAAATGACTTTAAAAACAATCCTTTGAAACATTTCTTGTAAATGCTGCAAAAAACTAAAACTTCATTTTAAGATTAAAAGAATTTTCAATTTCAAACTCTGCACTGAAGTCTCCGGCAATTTATTTGTCCTTCCATAATTGGCAGATCAATACAGCCTGAGGAGAAGCTCCCAGTGAGTTTAATTGGATTTTAAATGAGCAAGCTCTGACTCACTGACTTATAGATCACATTTGCATTTCACAGCTTTCTCAAATTGTCAGAATAAGGGGAAAGTGTTTATTTCTGCTGGTCAAACTTAATTATGTTTTTAAACCAAAAACAAAAAAAATTACCATTAAAAACATTTAAAATTTTCCATTTCATTTTTTAAGACAATATTTTTATGATTAAGGGAAAATAATTAACCTTAAAGGAAAATAATTTAAAAAATTGACTTGCAAGATGTCTTTCACGTCAATGAATGGATGCAATCCACTTGTTATCCTAACCAGTCTGACAGTATTGTCAGTATTGTACTTAAAGTGCCTTGAGATGACATGTGTTGAGAATTGTGCTATATAAATAAATTTCATTGAAAACTACATTGAATTTCTGGACATATGATAAACATTCTGTAGATCATTAGATTCTGCATAAAAAAAATAAGTGCTAACATCAAAGGAAAACCTTTGGATCATTATTGAACAAGTTATTCTATATTGAACGTATTTTGTTGTCATGCACATTTTAACAGGAGGCTCCACTGCACCAGGAACTACATCCATCTCAACCTCTTCATCTCCTTCATCTTGAGAGCTGTGGCCGTGCTGGTCAAAGATGCCATCCTCTTCAATCGAAGCTCGCAGTGCTCCAACCAGCCATCTCTGGTGAGGTCACAACTTCTCCACCTCCTCAGCTAGGGAAGCATGAGTCATTCTATAATTCAGGGTTATTTCAGTGAAACATTTACAGTAGATATAAATAAAGGATTACCATTGTTTAAGGGAATAGTGTAAATCTGGAAAAGTTACACACTTGAAACAAAACAAACTATATCAGAATGATTACCATCACTGCCTCTGATCTAATGAAATGTCTTGGACCATCATGATACAAAAGTTGAAGAGAGGAATGTGGCATTAAACTTCCAAAATAAGGGTCTCGTCATCACTTTCATTCAGAGGGAATTGCTCTTTTTGAAGGGGCATGCCAGAAAAAATAAATACTGAGCTTAGCTTTTTTTAAGCTCTTCATGCCAAAGCAATATGAGAACAGCTGTTAGCAAATGTCAGACAGGAACTGAAGGTAAACCGGCTTCCATAGAAGATTCTGCTATGAAAAACGCTGACCCTAGTATTCAATGCATAGCACAATATTCTGTGTTTGATTGGCATTCTGCTGATTGTTGTAAAGTGTGTTCTACATATAAATCTGAACATATACGGAAAGTCATTTTTGAATATAATCCATGTCTTTGTTTTTTGTTTATAATAAATTTCTTCCATTATGTGTTCATTTTGCCACCAGGTTATGATTTTTGTTTCAATTTCTGCCGTAAGGAAGTTGTTCTTTCAGAACATAGCATGTTCTAGATTAGGCTTTCTAAGTTACGGCCCTCAAATGCTGTGTTCGAATCCGGCGGCTGCATCCTCAGCATCCATTCTTTGCCTGCTTTGTGAGTAAGCTGTCATGGTTGCTAGGTGACAGAGCGTACGCTGAGTGAGGGGCGGTGACTGCTGGAGAAGGCCGAACTCTTCTGGCCTCCTTATTTTCACAGGCTTTAAAGGATCCAGTCCAGGTAGCCTGGGTACTTCGGAGGACGCAGTGGCCGTTCTCAAACACAGCAAACTTCTGGTGTCCTGCACATATTAATTACGTCTCTGCTTCCACAACTGGAACAGATTATTGGATCACCTCCTCAGCATTAAGTATACTTCTCCAGAGTTTTGCTACTCTTCTGATTTTTTGAATCAGGTATGTTGAAGCAGAGATGCATCTAAAGGGTGCAGGACTCTGGCCCTCGAGGACCAGAGCTAAGGAAGCATGTTTTAGAATCTATGTAATTTTTTTTATTTAATTAAATTACCAACTTAATCAATGATATTTAGATCGCAATAAATGTGATTATTTCAGCCATACTTTCAAAATGTATCTTTTATCTGAAAACACTTTTCCAATTCACTTTCAAACAGGGCGGATATGAAAGAAAACATTGTACACAGTTAATCAAGCATGCATCCAGTAATGATCCAGTGTAAATAAGCCTTCTGTGAAAACCTATATTCCTGTATGTTTTGTCATGCCTAAATATTGCTTATTGCTAGATACTTTTAAAATGAAATCATGGTATTATAGTGAACTTGCTGACCCCAGTACATGGCAATAAAACAAAGCATAGATGTGAAGGGAACAAAAATCAGGAGCTCGCATGTTGCTTGTTTGGTGCTTTATCCTGCAGCCTCCCTGCTGGGCCCTCAATGAGACTGGAGGGTGGAAGCAAAAGTGAGGGGTCCAGCCTGAGTGCACGAATACTTCTACCCGGGTCAATAACTGCTGCTTTGACCCAGGAAATAAGGCCACATGCAGATGGGAGGAGCGCTGGTGCAGTTGGAGAACAAAACGATGTTCAGTGACGGTTTACTCAATTTGGGACTATTAAGATTGGATACTTACTAGCTATAGCTCAATTAATGGATATACGCTCTAATTAGATATTTGTGTAACAATGGAAATTAAGATACACACGAATTGAGAATTTTAAATGTTGTCATCTTCAACATGATAGCACGCACTTATCTGCAAAGACATATAAACTGTTATATAATGGCTTAATACATTAGTTATTAAGAATTTTTAAGTACAGTCAAGATATAGAAGCAGGCTGACATAAAAAAGGGGGGCAGAGCTACAAATTGTGGAGTCCTCCAGCACAACAGTCATTTATTAGGTGTTACACTATAATAATGTGCCTATAATCTGCACAAACAACAATTTACATACCTCCATTTCAATATGTTATAAAGACATTTCTGGGTTACATTTAATTGTTAAAAGATTTAAATATTGGAATTGGACTGTTTTTATTAACTAATTTAGACGTTCCCTGTACTATAGAAAGATATTTGCTCTCAATAATGGTCTACACTAGATATAGTAAAACTCTGGCGTCCTTTCATGACCTTCATTAATACTGGAGGATGCTCTGTTTTTCTGTCTCTCTGAATAATTAAAAGTCTGTATTGTATTTGCTTTAATCATGTTTGTCTTGTAGTTGTTCATTAACAACTACTTCAACACTGTTTGGGGACACTGAAATTCAAACTGCTTGTAATATATTGTGGTGCAAAATTAGGTTTATCCTCTTATTGACCTTGCTGGTCACACCTAATTATAAAACAGGCAAACAATCAGGTCCACAAAATAAAAAGCATTTTGAGTAGATCAATCTGGATCCTGTTGGTCTTTGAGCATAACAAGGTTTTCAAGGATCAACCATAGGATGTAAGTTCAACAATCAATTTATAAAGAGTTTAAAAGGTTATAATATGCATTGAGCTTTAAAAAAAATGTACTTTCAGATTTTACCAGAGGTATCAAAAGTACAAAAGTGAGAGTGTCAACTTAAGCATTTTACTCAAGTAAAATTGTAAAAGTACCATTTCTAAAACTCTAAAACTGCTAAAAATATAAAAGTAAAAGTAATGCAGGATAAAATGTTAAGGATAGATGCTTTAAAACTTTGGTTACTGCAGTACCCTATTAAAGGAGCATTCTTCTACAATTCTGGAAGACAACTTCCTTACACTTTAGTTTCTTGGTTTTACTGTATAACTAATGGTAACAGTGTCAAATTTAACCTTAAATCATCTTCAAAAATTATCTATGTTGGTATGTGGTGAACAACAAGTTGCCGCAGTACGGAGTCCAACCACAAAGAAATTAATTGTCTGAATGAAACCGATTAATTGTGATGTTTTTCTGTTTGCTTTTTTAAATACCAGCAGCCAAAAACAAGGATGAGCTTAAATGAAATAAAACTAACGAGTCTATATTTAAAATATAAGTAGGAGAAAGTAGAGATAATTGCAAAAAAATGTAAGGAGTAGAAGTAAAAAGTAAAAAAAAATAAATAAAAAAAAATACTCCAGTAAAGTATAAATAGCCAACATTTCTACTAAAGTGAGGTAACGAAGTATTTGTACTTTGTTAGTCGACACTTCTGAATTTTACTGTGACGACCTACAACTTCCTTCATGGGATAATTTACATTTTTATTATAAAAACAGTTATGCATAGCTGTGGGGAGCAAGATAATCATATTTTTATTAAATATTTCACAGATAAAAACATAAAAGCTGGGTTTGCAGCTGTATTTAGCCACTTCACTCCGATACTCCTAAATAAAAATACAGTACACAAACAGCTGACTAAAGAATACACATTAGTACTTAGACTCCACTTTTTTGACATTCAGTTTTGGTATATTTTGTGCATGTCTCTAAATGCATCTGACAATGGTAGGCGAATATGTGCACCTAAATGCCACATATCATCAATCAAGCCATTCCCCACCACGAATCACTGACATAGAGAAACAGCATCAAGCTCCAGGCATACAGCAAAGATAGGAAAGCTGATGAAAGTTGATTGGAATACAGCTGGAGTTCAATACGGTGCTGGAGTGGAGGTTGACCCTCCGGTAGGAGAACCACAGCTACTATGGTTCATATTTTACTGTAAAGTGGCCCAGTCAAAGTTCAGATCTAAAACTGATTTAAACACTCTTGGAAAGGCTTTAAAATAGCGCTTTACAGATGCTTTTCAATAGACTAATGCAACTTAAGGTCTTTTACAAAAAGGAGTTGGAAACAAAGCAGGCTGAGTGGAGTCGAGCCGGCAGTACAGTCTGTGGAAAAGTGGCATTAAGGTGTTTACAAAAAGCATTGACCGAAAGGAGCAGATTACAAATGCACCGAAGACTTAAAAAATGACTTAAAATCAATATATCCATTTCTTCCTCCTTTTCAATTATGTATGTTTTCTTTGTCAAAGGTTGGAATGGGATGCAAATGTCTGTTGAATTGCTGGTTTTTAATTTGCCTGTGTTTATGTGCTCCTCAGGTGGGATGCAAAGCCAGCTTGGTGTTTTTCCATTACTTCATCATGGCCAACTTCTTCTGGCTACTGGTGGAAGGCCTTTACCTTCACACTCTGCTGGTCATCATCTTCTCTGACAACCAGCACTTCATCATTTACATGTTTATCGGCTGGGGTAGGTACCATTTTGAGGTTAAAGGCAAACCAAACCACTGCATCCATTTGATTCCTTTCACTGTGTAAATTGCGAACTAAAACAGTACCACATTTAATGTGCGACAGGGGTGTCCAAGTCCTGCAACTTTTTGATGCATCTTCTCCAACACACCTGAATCTAACGTCTGAATTCCCTCAGCAGGTCATTCAGCTCAGTAGAAACCTGCTTTGGATTTTGGAGATCTAAAAAGGAATATTTTCCGGGATTAAATATAAATTGACAGAACCAAACTGAATATCAACAGATTTTCAAAACCTGGTTTAAACTGATATATTAGTAAAACTTTGTTCTTCTTATTTCGTTATGTGCAACTATATGTCCAAAACAGCAATTATAGTTGAGACGAATGGATTAGGCAGGTATTAACAGACAGTGTTCCTTGGCAGTCGCTATGAAGATTAATTGCAGTTTTTCTTAGTTTATATGACGCAAAATTCTATTATCACAAATTCTCCTCCTGTCTGCACTCTAAAACAGAACTCTGTCATCAAAATAGTGCATGTAATTCATGGCTTACACAATTCTCCCAAAACTGTTGCACAGTGTTGGAAAAGGGGTTATTTATGGCACATTTAAACAAATAGTCATAGCAGCGTTTTTGAAAAAGTGTCTGATTATTTCGCTTATAGTAGTTAACAATCAGGGACTGTAACGGTCCCCTCTGACTCAATTATTTTGTTCTACTTGTCATTTTTGGAGGCATAATTTTTTACTGAAAACACAGTGAGAGAGCAATGTCTTGTACTATGCATTGCAGTGTGCTAATTTTGATCAGTGGGTGCAGATTTGCAGAAGAAGAAGGAATTTTTATTTGTCATTGTTCCTCCAGGGTACAAAAACATTTTTAGCAGTGCAAGACAAAATAAAATTAAACACGCTGGCAAATAGTGCGATACAAAAAGTAAAAAAAATGGTATGTGCCGTTACAGAAGAAAAAAAATATATAAAATGTTAGCTTTTTTACAAAAAGTGCACTTTTAACACATGTGTGCAATGCTTTATGAATTGTGTTCAGTATTTTGGAAATGTTTGCTATTTTTCAGGAACAGTGTTTTATCAATTGAGAAAAACTGTAAACTTATGTTTTGTTTTTTAAAGAAGGTAAAAGAATCACTTATAATAAAAGTATTTAGAAAATATATGTCTGCATATCTTGCACGTCATCAGTTACAATAAAAAAAAAAACTGTGATTAAAATAGAGCAAAGTCAAAGTAAAATAAAGTTTGACAGTTCTTCTCAGGGGTTTGACCTGCAGTGCATCTTTTTCACTCAGGAATCCCTACTGTGTTTGTCTCTGTATGGATAATGACAAGAACTTACCTGGAAGACACGGGGTAAGTTCAACTATTACCCAAATTGTTCCTAACTGACTCAGCTATTATATAAGGTATATAAGTATATAGGATGTTTTATATCTATATCTGTCTATATATCTAGAAAGATATAGATAGATATAGACATAATGTATCTATATATATATAATAAAATATAACAAAAAAAACACGTGAGAAAATATTTGTTCAGCCTCTTATTATGATGGGCTGGCTCTTGAATGTCAGGTTAACAATTTCTGTAAGCATTTGATCATAGGTTCTGGATCACTATACAAAGAAAAGACTTGATTATGAAGCACTTTAAAAAGTGCATGATGTCAGAAACTCATACAAGTTTCTTAAGTTTTCGAGAAAAAATAAGTCCAAAGCATCAGAGATCCTCCACTGTACAGGAGTTTTTTTTTCCTATTATGCTGTTGTTTTACCACCCCATGTGCAGGCGGTGTCTGATGAAAAACTGTAAAAAGCCATATTCCCAGAGTCGAGGATTTTAAATGTATTAAGGAGCCAGGAAGCCTGAAGAAGAACTATGATTTTCAACTTGTTTCTACGATGGCCAGAGAGCAGCAGTTTGCAAATGGGAGCAGTTGGGAGAGACTGAACCTGCCCCAACTTCCGATTGCATTTAACAAACTATCATGTTTCCATATTCATTTAATTTTTATGAGTATGAGTTTTCTGTAGCATCAGAACATTTACAGGTTGCTTTTTACCATAAATATGCCTTGCTCTGCCCCTTTAGGTGCTGGGAAAGGAATGAAAACCCCATTCCCAACTGGGTGATAAATGGCCCAATAGTGTTCTCTATTTTGGTAGGTTGATGTTTGTCATTTCATTTTAATAACTGGCAGATTCATGATTATGTTGGCATTTTAAAACCTTGCCCAGGGACTACAGTTGAAAATTAGCTACTTAGCTAACACTGGCTCATTTACAGAAATGTTTATTAATGTGCACTGTCCCTGTTCAAATAAACACATAAATAATAAAAAAAAAAATAAATAAACATGACAATATTTTTTATTGACATAAAGAAAATCCTTAAATTTATTTATTTTGCTTTGATAGGTAATATCTATTTTCTTTTTGTGTAACACTTATTTATAAAGTTGTTTTTTTTTTCTTCAAAACTTGCAATCTTTGAAATAAAGAAACAGGAATGACATTGAGGTTCACTTCTTTGGTAGTTTTAATGAGTTTAATAAAACAGCCAAAGCACCATGCAGCAGTGAGCATTGTGTGCAGCATCCAGCAGCTGCAGTTTAAGGTGTGAACAATCCTCGTCTAAAGGCATTAAAGTCACTGGACTTCCTGCCGGTTTTATTCCCCCATCCTGCTGACTGATGTCCCACAGTCAGCTTTCCCAACCTTTAAAGGTCTCGGCAGGAAGGAGTTATTCTCAGTAAGAATCCAGTTTAGTCATTAAACTTATGTATGCTGAAACTATAGGAGTGGAATGTAGTTTAATCATTTTCAGCTTAGAAGTGGCTTAAATTAGGGAACAATAAAAATAGCATTATCGTTTTTTTTATATGCTTTCGTGGCAGAGTAGCTTTTGTGATTAAAATTACATTTTTGTCAAGGAAAATTTAAAGGATTATTTCAAAAGGTTTCAATGCTACACTTGTGGGAGAAAAATCTATTATTAAATAAAAATATTAGGTTCCAAAATTGAGCGCAGCTGTAGAATCTGTGATATTTTTTACACTTGTTCCTGTTTATAAACTCACACATAACTTTAGAGACTTTGTGTTTTTCTCCTACTGTATTTATTTATTTCCTGCTCTTCTTCTTTCAGGTTAACTTCATCCAGTTCATCAACATCATTCGGATATTGATCCAAAAGCTCAGATGTCCTGACATAGGCGGCAATGACCAATCACAGTACAGGTACCTCAGAGCAGATTATCCATCCAACGAAATAACAAAAATCATATGTTAATGTTAAAAAAAAAATAAAAAAAAAAAAAAGTTACTATTTGGTGCACACAAGCACTATATCTTACCTAAGTCACACTGTTTATGCTAAAACACAGAAACGCCTAAGTTCACAAACAAATAACCAAAACAAAGTATAAAATGGAAAAATAGTGAAAATTTTGCAAACAGGGCTAATTTAATCAGAAAGTCTCTGACTGAAACAAAAGTGAGCTACTGATGTAGAAAAGCGTAAGGTTCAAGTATATGACTAGATTTTTTCAAACAGCAGGAGCACGACAGAGAATCTTTTAAATTTGTCACTATTGATAGTGAAATGAATTGTGAATAAAAGCTGACAATATGTGTCAACACGTGTGCGACTAGACCTTCTCAGTCAATCAGATAGGACTCGGTTGAAGGCTTCAGAATCTAAAAAGAGAAAAAAAAAACTCAGCAGAGACCCTCATTTTTTTTCTCCAAGCTGTCAGAAATGGTTAAAATGGCCGTAACCCTGATTTACCGAAGCAGCATTTCACGATGGAGTCTTTTAAAAATGACAGGACCCTCTGGTTTTGCTGTGTAACAGCTTTTAAAGTCGTAGGGAAATCATATTCAAAAGTCAAATTATTCTGGCTTGAACATGCATATAAATCTACTCTTTATCAGATATTGTCCCAAAATTTAGATAATTTCAATTTAAAATGGTCATCTGTCAATCAAAATTTTCAGTCATAGCATCTTGATTCATATGTCGCAGCTATTATACGCAACGGTTGAAATAAGAATCATTTCCTTTCCCATTGAGTTCCGTCCCAGTGTTCACGGGGATGGACGTCTGTGTCTTCAGCAGGTGTAGAGCTAACAGAACTGGCAGCGTTACGAAGCAAGGGCTCAAACATGTACGGCTGTAAGCCTTCTACACCAAACCAAGCTTCTGCCGCCCTGGCATCCTCTTCCACAGCATCCGCTTTCCTCCTCTAAATAAAAAATGTATGACGAAGGAGACTCATCCACAACCTCTGACAGGCACTGCTCACACTTGAGGCCTATGATTTTCCAGTAGTTGAAGTAAATGCATGAAAATTGTCCTCATCTACTCAATCAAGCAAACATTTGCTGATAAACTTTTCCTGTATTAAATGGTAAAATAAATATTTTTTCATGTTACTGGAACCCAAATTACTCACTAGACTCCTCTGTTCCAACTCATTTAATTTCAACAGGCTAAAACAGATCTAGAAACGTTCATGCTTGAAACCGACAAACTGTCAGTTAAGACAACATTTGAAAAGGTGACAAAAAAAACAACTAACATGCTTGCTGTAATTGCGATTTAAACTATAGCTTGGGCTACTGTGTATTGTGTACTATACGATCCGATTCTTCACACTACTTCCTATCACATGTAGTGAAAATGAAAAGTCAAGTGAAAGTCTTGTCACTTTTAAATGATAAAAGCTAAGAGGCATCTCAGCTCATCCACTCAACATTTATTAATCCCCTTGCAGGCAGTCAACATTTATCATCTGTTAATCTGCATCATGAGTCAAGGTTTAATCTTATGGAGTCACATATGGATTTGAAGATTAATCAACTGTGTTTACTGTCATTTTGTTGAATGCGTGGAAATGATATTTTGAAATATGCTTCATAAGGCTATTTTGTAGTTAGAAGGTTTGGAGTTTTCATGGTCCTGTAGAAAAACAAATCATGTGACTGCTGTGTCTGCCTTTTTGTTGCTGATAATGGTGCTCATTGTCTTCTATTCATCTCTGCTTTTAATTTAACCTATCATCACTGCATGCAGTACATTACCGTCAAAGCATCTTCATTGAATTACTGCAGGACATTGCCTCTATCCTCATCGCTGCACCATGTTGCAGCAGGCCCATCATGGCAGGCGCATCGTGCCCTCACTACATCACGGCAGGGCCATCAATGTGCATGATGGCACACACAGCACATAATACCATGTGCATTGCACCTGCAGCTCATGTCAGGTTCATTACAGCAGGTCTAGACCAACAGCTCATTACTGCAGTTATGACACAGGGCGTCACTGCTGCCGGTCTCATAGGTTATCAAGTATGTAAAGTTCAATGCTAGCCATCTTAATGATGCAACTTCAAAGTATTTATTCTTGTGAGAATACTTAAGATTACTGCAGTAGATCATTGCCATTAATATGGCTCCAACACAGGGGACATTTCTGAGATTGTGAGCGATAATTTGCTCCATTCATTCAACTAGTTCCTATAGAATTTCTCCATGTATCTTACTTCCAGCTCTCATTTTTTGATGCTATCATTTTTCAAATCATTTTAATGCAGGTCTACGAGGATGTTCCCTAGCATGGTTTTTCCCAATTCCTAGCCCCCCTTCTATCCCTCAGTTTGTTGTTTTTTATTTTATTTTCTTTAAAATCATTCAGTGAATCTGCTTTCAAGGTTACTGTACTTCAAAGAATCATCACTCCAACAGCTTGGTCACTGATCTTCTTCGGCTTCAGCTTAAGCATCCCCCATCTGTCCGCACCTCTCCTCCTTTTTAAGTTCTTAATGCTCCCTTAGCCTATTCGTAAGCATGATCAGCATTGACTGGTGGTGGTAAGCCATTTTCTTTTACTTCTCTCCACACTGAGCTTGTTTCTGCATTTCTTCACGCCCGTAGGCTCTCAGACCATCAAGGCAGACTCATCCAGTGCACAATCACTCAGCCAGCTTTACTCTCGATCAGCCTTTCTCTATTTACACCTTTCTGCATCAACA